CTCATCGGGCAACCAGGTCTGGGATGTCATGGCAGGCATGTAAGAAGGGCCCATTCCCAGAAAGAGATGTTGGGGGAAGCCTTTGAAGATGCTCAGTAGATGTCTCAGGTTATCAAACGTGACGGGGGATGGAAGTTGTACATCTGAGCCATGCAGAAAGCCCCTCTGATATCAGCCAGGTAATCCAGAAGTGGTGTGAGGAATGGGAAAAAGTGCCAGGATCTTAAACAAACCCCATTTGGTGTCAAAACACCCTTGGTGAGCTGCCCACTGTGGCTGTGTGGGAAGACTGCATCGACCATCTCTTCTGACCACACATGGACCTTGACTGAGAGCCAGTGAAGAGAGAACTGAAGACATTTGATGAGACAGCTGGATGCCTGCGATCAGCAAATCCGCCCACTCACAGACCTCCCCTGGGCTTGGCACTGTGCTGTGCTCGGTGCTGTACAGGTACACAGGTCAATATGGACAATGTCCTAGAGGAGATGGCAGTGTTGGTACCGGAGGACCTTCTCTCTGCCTGCGAGGACACCATTGCAAACCCCATGTGCGAGGCCACTCCTGCCCGGTGAAAGTCTGCGGTACCAGTCACCCGCAGCTGTGAGTGTGAACCACGTCCAATGGTCCAGAAGTCGGTCTCTGGTCACACAGGACATCTTCCCAGCATCCGAGTGCTGCATGAAAACACTTCAGAGTTAATAAAATGTGCAAGATGATTCAGGATGAAACACATGTTTGCACATAGGCTTGATACCTGCCCAAGCAAGTCATGAGATGACCAAAAGAGGGGAACATCTGTCAGCATTGCTAATGCTTTAATATACTGTGTGTCAGAAAATACGTGTGGATTTAGCTAACAGTAATACTGAAGTCAAGAGAACGGTGAAAACGATGAAGACATCCACTTAAGCAGAACAATAAATAAATAACATGTCATTTTTTCTTTTTGCTGGTATTTGAATCCATCTTCTGGTGCCACTAAAATAGTATCAGGGCACGAATAGCAGCAGTAGAAAAACCAGATGGTGCATTTGAGTGAGCAGATGGTACACTATTGTGTCATACTTACTACTGTCACTTACTTTATTATTTCTATTACGGTGGATCTCTGGATGGTCCTCACCTGTAATCAATATTCGTGGATTGGATTTTTTTAATTCAGTAAACATTGTTTCACATACTCGGAAAAAAATCTGGTTTTTCACTGTAGTACTGCCAGGTCTCGGGAAGCGTTTGATGCAGTTGGTATTTTTTCAGGTAGAAACATGTTTTTGGGAGTGGAGAAAAAAAAATTGGCAGCGTGTGTTTATTCTATAAGCACCCAGCGTCCAAAATAAAGTGGGAAACAGTCTGTGTGACTCTTCTCTTAAACCCTTTCCTTTTGCCGTAACCTGGCTACGTTTCCTTATGCCGTGCTGGCTGCTTACCCGCTCTTTGGATGCTTGTCCACGTACTGAAAGCTCAGTCTGTTTCTGAAAGTGAATATGAAAGATGCAGGCGAGGAAGAAGTCAACTTTCGACTCGCACCAGTTGGGGATGGCACACAAGGACCGTGTTTTTCATCCTCCCTTTGGGCAAAGGCTGCTGTGTCACAGCCTGTCCCTGCTAGTAGACACGTACGCAGTTTGCCGGGGGGGGCTGGGGCTCCTCGCCCAGCGGCAGGGGGGATTTGCTGTGCTGTTCGATAGCCCACAGCGATAAATGAGATCTCCCCTTTGGCAGCTGGCCCACATGCAGCGTGACAGTGCGGAGGGACTGCACGCTTGCACTCCCCTTCCCTCTCACATGCTGGCCAGCACCGCGCTCGCCTCTGTCGGCACGTTGGGAGCGTGTCTTCTCAGCTCCGCAGGCTGCCGGGCACAGCGACAGGCGCGAGAGCAGCCAAAGACTGAATGGTCTGTATGGCTGCACCCGTTTGCTTGCTAGGAAAGAGGCAATCCATCAAAACATCCTTCACACAGACCCTTGCTGTCAGCTGGGGCCACAGTCTGCGTAAAAGCCCCTGGATTTATCATTGCTTTTGCATTCAGAAATTATTCTGGCGAGAAGTATTCCTTGTTGGGCTGTCTGCTTTTTTTTTCTTTCTCTTTTTCTTCCTTTCCCCCACTTTATTCTTCATGGATATCCCTTATACCCCTTTCCCCCTCTATTCTTCATGGATATCCCATATATAACTCTGTGACTATAAATCCCTTCTATAACTGCTATTCCCACTGAGGTCCGTGCTTCACCCCCTGGGCAAATCCCTCCAGTCCCGCTCCTGCCCTCGGCCGGGGGCTGTGGCAGCCCTTTCCATCAGCTGGTGTCAGGCACCACCTGGCAGAGCTGCTTCATTTGCTCCGTTGGGGAGTTTTTCTCCTCTGGCTGCTCCGCTCCTCCCCTCAGCCAGGGGCTGTGGCAGCGGTTTCCATCAGCTGGTGTCAGGCACCACCTGGCAGAGCTGCTTCATTTGCTCCGTGGTGGGGAGTTTCTCCTCTGGCTGCTGCTGTCGGCCCAGCAAGCGTGTTTCGGGGCAATCTGGGGCTGCGGCAGCTCTGACAGCTCCATCCTTCAAGTGCACAACAGAGGAAGGAGAGTGGATGGAGAGACGCATCCTACACGTGCATCACAGTCTTTAATTTCTTCGATGCATCTTCTCATGTCTCCTGTATGGGAGCTCTGATTGTAATTATCTATATTTGTTTAATCCCACCCCATTTGCTAGGCTATATGCGTTTGCTACAGTAGCCTGCTGCTGTATTCAGCCAGACCAGATACCGCTGCCAAATTGCACTAACTCTAAAGCTGTACCCAAGACAACTGCTTTGGTCTATTTTTAACTGCTGGTAAACATTAGGAAAGCTGTCTGAGCCCGTAATAGTCTTCCTCTAGTCTCTTTTGAATTGTTTATTGTATAATTATCTGCAAAAAGGGAATGGGGGAGAGCTGCCTGTGTGCCCTTTTGTTGTTGTCAGCCTACAGTATTAAATATTTTCCCTTCTAGTCACACGTAATATTTGATTCTTTTCTTGTCTTCCCAGCCAAAAGGATAAGATAACCCGAGCGGAGCCTCCTCAACCCTCCGCCGAAGCGACTTACATCTGCTTGTTCCTACACTGGAACAAAGACATTGTCTATCTTTGACAAAGAAAGCTTTTCTCTGAAGTGTTTGCCAACAGTCTGAGTTAAATAGGCCTTTATAAAGCCAAACAGTACTTCGAGAGCCAGATCCGGAGGATACTGGAGCAGCAGCAGCAGCAGCACTGCAGGGGCAGGCTGGCAGAGGATGGCTTTGCTGGGCTGAGGGCTGCACTGCCTCAGCCAGGTAGGGCAGGGGCACCGGCACCCTGCCGCCGCCGACACGGGTAGGCTCCTCCGAGCTCTTTGGAAAGGAGTATTTGGGATATTTGGGCCCTGTTCCAGGTTATTAACTTCAGGAGGGAAACCACAGCCAGCATGGATCATCCCGATGAGCATGCTTGTACGTTGCTCAGGAAGCTGCGCTGCTGGTTGAAACCCACAGGGAAGTCGGTGGGTGTAGGCAGAAGTACAGAGGAGCGAGATAATATTAACTGCATTAATATTCACCTTAGTGCAGCCTTGGGAAAGGAAAGTGGGGAGAAGTAAGAGGGGGGAGAGGAGGAGAAGCTCTAGGCTGTCAGGGCTGGGGGCTCAGGCTCCGTGGGGTTCAGACCTGTGCTCTGCCACTGACATCCGATGCGAGGATGAAGAAGGTGCTCCTTCCTCGTCTAACACTGCCTTAGCTGGCAGCAGCAGAACAAGGCAGACCAGGTGATTTTGGTAAGAGCTCTGAGCATTATATTAAAAACCTTACTTGCCATTTTTAGCTCAGCAAAGAGAACACAAACAGTTTCCCTGTGGTGCAAGTGGGAGTGTACAGCCGTGTAACATCGCTTCTTTTAACTGGTCTTGCATCCATACGCTGTAGTGAGGACCCCCGGTCCAGCAATTTCCACCTGGGGACTCAGAACACGTAGGCACAGTCTGTGGTACGTGACATGGGAAAACATCCCGCTGGGAGTCGAGAAGTGATCCGCTCTGCTTCCCTGCGACTGCTTCTTCACTGGCGAGGTTGCTGTGCTGCCTTCAGATGCTATTACTCAATTAAAAATCTGCACTGTAAATGAGCAAGGCCGTGTGTGTAAGCGCTTTAAGCTGAAACTGCATGTGTTTCAACAAGCAGCAAAGAGACAAATACAATCGTTTCTCAACTACAGCACAACTGGAGAAAATGCAAAACAGAACGGTACTGTATTTTCCTAACTTTACAATTCCCAAAGGCTTCCCTCGAAATGGGACTGTATGAGTGGTTCTGGTCTTACAAGGAACAGCTAGTGATTTATAGAAGAGGCACGTACCCTGTGCCCCCACTGTGCTACCCCCCACTGTGCTTTTTAGTCACTGACAGCATTTTCCCCAAATTTGTTTCATTCCCTGTCACACAACTGATTTCCTTTTGCAAACGTAACTAACGTTAGAGCTGGATTTGCAGTTTGAATTATCAGCATTTTTCTTACTATCATAAGGCATGGGGCCCTACCACACAGGCTACGGCTCCGGTGCGGCAGGTACCACGCAAGCACGAAGAGAAAGCTGCTCACAACCCAAGTACAGCACGAGACGCCAGGCAGAGGCACGAGCTTGCAGGTTGCAAGAAGTGGAACCTTCTGGGGTGAAGGGCTTGTAGCTGCACCGGCTGCCGCAGTCCCTGTGGGACCCCCCGTGGGGGAGACGGTGGTGGGAGGCCCGGCAATGGGAAAAAAAAGAGATATTAGTTAAATACGGGAGGCACCGGGGAGAGATGCGAAGAGGCAAGGGGAATGCCTGGATGGGTGGGCCAGGGAGATCATTTTAATTTGCTGTTTGATGGGCTGGGAGGTAGTAGCGCTGGGGAAGCTAAAGTACACGAAACATGCAGTAATGGAGACCGGGGATGAGCGCAGTATGGTGAAGCTTTAGAAACCAGCAGGGAAGGACCAGGATTCAGAAGAGCTGTAATGGAAAAAGTGAGCCACAGTGGTCAAGTGAAGCTAGCAGCAAAAGGAGATGAGAGATTAAAGACTATCCCTCCCACGTCCTCCGCATCGACAAGGAGGATGTCACGTCTTGAGAAACCGAGGAAGGAAAAAGTAGAGATAATCCAGCAGGACAAAATGCTTATTACTGTCTGCATTTTGTTTCAGCCGGCAGCAAGGCATCCCGCGGGGGCCGGGCTGGGAGAGCGCTCGCACGGCAAACGGCCGCCTAAGACTCAGGGGGACCCAGGTCTGTCCCTTCGAGGCCCTGCAGGAGCCGAGCTGCCCTTGCCCAGACGGCGGGCACGGTGCCGCCGCCGCCGGGATTCAGTGTCGTCCGGTAAAACCACAAACCCTGCTGGGAACCGCATGGCCGATACGTTTCAGCTTCCATTAAAAAAACAAGGGGCTGGGGACTGGAAGGTGAAAAAACAACTACTACACTTATTTTTTTTTAAATACGTTGCGATTTGAAGACTTTTTAAAGGACGCCTGCCAGGCTGGCGCAGGGGAGGCCTTCCCTGGCCGTGCGTGGCCCCCGCGGGCTCACTGCTAAGCAAGGGCCAGGGCCACGAAGCCGGGGATCAAAAAAGCCGTACTAACGACCCCTAATATTTCTTCGGGGGGGTGGTAGGGTTATTTTTAATGCCGCATCCTCTGGCCGATCCAGCTGGCAGAGCCCTGCCGCGGCCAAGCGGGTGCCCGGCCGCTTCCTCGCCACACGCCGCGGGCGGGGCCCCGCC